TTTAAGAAATGATGCAGGGATCTTTTATCACATTTTTCCGAATGTTGGAGGCAAGGATTGAGATAATAAGATGCAAACTTGGCAAAGCTAGGGGAAATGTTATACGCGATAATCGTGCATCTTTCCGAACTGACTGCTCCGACTCGTTGAAAATATGGTTGTACAATTTCACATTGCTTTATAAAGTACTCATTGTACAGGATGTAAGATGTACAGGATCTGAGGTAGAAATATACGTTTTAATTAAATCTTTTAAGGTAATCACACTCATAAGGAAAACATAAGTCGCTTCATTTCTTTATTAAACTAGTTTTAATTTCAGAGGGGTGAATTTAAAGAACATTGTGAATACTCAGATATAAAAGAAACCAGTACGAAATATATCGTTATTTAACATAAATTAAATTCTTTAGTTAGTCCAGACGTTAAGTCTTTCCAAGAAAATATTATTTTTTAATATATATGTAAAATGAAGTCGAGGATATTGGATGAAGTTTACCAACTTCGTAATTAAAGTTGTACTTGTCTCTAGAGCAACATCAAGAACCGTGAAATATATTAAGTTTTGTTGCAACAGTAAATAAATTACATTTGTTATAACAATTTGAACATAAGCATTATCCTTCGGTTACATTTTCTTCGTTTTATTTTAAATTAGTCATGGCGAAACGTGCTGAATTTTAGAAAGCATTCAAATCCCAATCTTCTTTACGAGACACCTTGAGCTCGTGCTACGTTGTTCTATGTAGATAGTTTTTATGTTGCCATAGTAAATCCCTATACCGGAGGTATAAATCCCTGGGATATATATACAAGAAAGATAGGGTAAAGAACCAAAGTACAAATTACTCCAGGTTCAGCTGTGTTAAATGATATAATTAGTAAACCTGCCTACTTAGCAGCATCCATAAATTCCGGTAATGTCTTTCCACGTCATGCGCCGGTATTACTCTCGTTGTTCATCAACTATCAACCAAGATTAGTTGTTATTATACGGATGTTTCAAATTCTCTTAACGATCGTTTCTGTGGTCGATGTAATTTCCGAACAAATGGAAATTAAATATCGACATAACTAAATGCACATTTTATGCTAATATCGTCTGTAAACATGTAATTGCGCGCTTTGGTGTTTTATAATCTCTATTTCATGTTGTTTTTTTTTCTTTCTGCACTTCTGTATCTATGTTTGTGTTCTTCATTTACCTTTATATCTATCTGCGTTTGTCTAATAATTTTATATTACTGTTCTTTCAGAGAAATCATAGTAAACGATACATATCCGATCTTTATCTCTGTATGTAAGGATATACACTTCATTTTCTCTGATTATTTGTGTATATCGTTACCGAGATCCTTTTTTTTACCGGGTTAGTCCGTCTTATCGTGTATGTTATGTATCTGTGGAACTAATGTCTTACACTTGAATTCATTGCTAATTCACATTTCTAACATAAAATTATTATTCATATATTTTTTACCTTTTACTCACTTATCTTGCAGCTTCCCCCTCCCGTGGCTCAGCAGTAAGACTGAGGGCTTATAACGCTAATGATCGAGTTTCGATACCCGTGGTGGACAGAGCTTAGGTCGCTTAGCAAGAACAACAAATATATTGCATGTTTTAGATGGATGAGGCGTAATGAATTAAAATATAAACCGTACATCTTATGTGATTTAAATGGATGAGGCATCATAAAATAAAATATAAACCGTACATCTTGTGTGATTTAGATGGATGAGGCATAATGAATTAAAATACAAAACGTACATATTGTGTGATTTAGATGGATGAGGCATAATATAAATTAAAATATAAACCGTACATCTTGTGTGATTTAGATGGATGAGGCGTACATAAATTAAAATATAAACCGTACATCTTGTGTGATTTAGATGGATGAGGTATAATAAATTAAAATACAAAACGTACATCTTGTGTGATTTAGATGGATGAGGCGTCATAAATTAAAATATAAACCGTACATCTTGTGTGATTTAGATGGATGAGGTATAATAAATTAAAATATAAACCGTACATCTTGTGTGATTTATGCACTGTTACTTTGAAAATTTTAAATTTTCAACAAATTTTTTAAGCATCGGTAATACACAAGATGTAACTTAAATACTGTGTAAATCCTTTAGTCGGGCATGATTTTTTGTAGCTATTCCAAATGATAGCATATGAATCTAGTGTTTAATTAAGAAACCAGAGTGTAAATAATAAAACGTGTTACGTTCCTGGAAGAAATTAAGTTTCTTTTTTAAGTTTAAACCAGGTATATTTTTATCTGTCTAAATTTCTAGTGACAGACTAGACATATACCGTGCTTTCTTCCTTATAATGTATGTGTTTTTGTTTTTTTAACAGTAGTTATTTTCATATTATTATTATTCTTACAGTTAAAGCTAGATTCTGGCTCATATCCAGTCGTGGATGGATATAATCTAAACGTGTTACTTGGAAAGTAGTAGGAGCCATGTGTTTCAAATGCTTACAATACCTACTGACAGCTAAGAACTATCCAGAGAAACTACACAAAACAACATTTTTTAACTACTTCATTTCCATTTTGCCCTTTAATTTAATTAATTGGGTCTAGTTATCCCTTCCAAAATGCTAAAATAATCACTAATCGGTTTACTCTGGCTAAATCATTTATGGAGTAAAAAGTTTCAATAATTAGATAGTTCGAGAAACTACACTTGGAGAATTTTAAATGAATTTTGAGATAATAACTGCATAACAAAGACACTAATCAGCGTGATATTTATACTGAAATATGCATTATATATGTAATAAGCACGATAACAATGAGTGTATTTAAAAAGAAGTAATAATAGGTATGAATTGTACAACTATAACTGTATAAATAAAATTAGTAACCAATAGGGTTATGTTAGACTACAGTTGCAGTTCCCAGTTTATAATTCTTCTAGTTAGTCCATCACTCGAAGTTTGTGGAATAGTGTCTAAGATCTGTGCTTTTCGTTCAATGTCAGAACAGCTCCCCCAGTGGCACAGTGGTATGTCTCGGACTTAAAACACTAGAAACCGGGTTTCGATACCCGTTATGGGCAAAGCCCAGATAGCCAATTGTGTAGCTTTGTGCTTAACTTCACACAATAGTAATAATAATAATGTCAGAACAATAGTCAAAAGTGGTTTTTTACTTTTACTTCTGCTTTAAAATCCGTTAAGGACTGAATAAGAAGTAATGAAAAATGGTTTAAATATTAACGTGATTCTATATCGCATTTGTAGGACTAAATAGTTTGAATTTTTGTCAGCTTGAGGATTCTATATTATATTTTCAAATTACGTAACTAACAGTTCATATATGCATTTAGTTGTGATTACAGCTTAGCAGCTGGTGAGTTGTTGTGTTTAGTTGTCGTGGTTACAGTTTAGCCGCTGGGGATTTGTAGTGTTTAATGTCGTGGTTATAACTTAAAAGCTGAGGATTTGTTGTATTCAGTTGTCGTGATTACAGCTTAGCCGCTGGGGGTTTGTGGTGTCTAGTGTCGTGGTTATAGCCTAGCAGCTGGGGATTTGTGGTGTTTAATTGTCGTGAGTACAGCTTAGCAGCTGGGGATTTGTGGTGCTTAGCTGTCGTGATTACAGCTTAGCAGCTGGTGATTTATGGTGTTTATTATCGTGATTACAGCTTAGCAGCTGGTGATTTATGGTGCTTATTATCGTGATTACAGCTTAGCAGCTGGTGATTTATGGTGTTTATTATCGTGATTATAGCTTAGCAGCTGGTGATTTATGGTGTTTATTATCGTGATTACAGCTTAGCAGCTGGTGATTTATGGTATTATGCGTAAAAATCAAACCAGTAATCGACTAACTAAGAGGACTAAGATATAAAAATTATCGTCTAACGTCATGCTTCTTTACAATTCTAAGTGTACACGACTTTTACTTTTGGCTAGTTCAGAGGTTGTACATCGTCCCCTGGAGTAAAGCTAATAGCTTAGTATTCTGTTACCACTCTCTGAACCTGGTTTGAACTTATCCCATTGTAAATATTTCATTGATGAAAGTCACATGATCGAACCGTATTATGTCGATTACGTAACTTATAAAAGTTCTACTTGAATAGCTTTCTAACCCTCATCACGGACTTGTTTAGACGTGGGTAATCAGCTTACGGTGACATTCTGATACAGTCAAGAGAGAAATCTTTGATGACACATGAAGGCAGTACAATAAAACATAACAATATTGTGTCAAACATTGAACACAATTCAGTAAATAGAATCGCGAAGGTTCTCGGGTAATATCAAACGTTCTTCAAAGAGACTGAGACTAATAAAAACCAAATATTTGAACAGAACTACCTATTATACTGGTTGAATCAAGTCCATGGGACACCCTCTAGCCTCTTGGAGCCCACATTACATATCAATAATGTAAGTTTGCTCCAAGTGTCCCATGATGTTTAGTTACACCCCTGAAGATCAACATATTTTAGGATTTGAATAACAGTCAGTACACAACAGTGACAGTTACTTTTAACGGGGAGTTTGAAAAATATTTTTTGCCAGAAAAATTATTCAAAACACAAAGATTATGAAGGGTTTTAGTTACCAAAATATGAATATTTTTGAGTTCTTTCTTCATAGTTAATAAACAACAATGAAAGTTTTGGTGACAGTAATACAATAAGTCTTCGAGAGCTTGAATAATATTTAATAAACAACTACGGAAATTTTGATAATAATAAGTTAATAAATCTCCCAAGGTTTGTGTAAATGTCAGCAGGTAACCATCAAGGTCTTAGAGAGAAAGATGAATGAATAAGGACAGAAATAAATTAAAATAAAGAAATAAAAGTAACTGAAACAATCTAAATGTTAAATAAATTCAGTTTTTGGTATTTTGAAACCATTTCCTACAATACTAAAATCCTTTTACTAATCCAAGACCATTGGTTTCATATTTCAGTAATGTTTTCATGTACAAAAATCAGATTCTGAAGATATACGTACCACCATGTAGCTTGGACGTCGCTGATCAGATTCATAGAGAACATCAACACCAACATGTTTAGCCGCCAGGTCTTGTCTTCAGGATTCATGATTAAGTACAGAAATCTGTCTGATTTAGCAAACGTCTCTTGTCCACAACGTGTTTACACTTATCTGCATAACTAAAATTCTGACAGTATATATATATATGTGTGTGTGTGTGTGTGTTAAAGATAAAAGTCTGACAGTATATATATGTGTGTGTATGTGCTAAAAGTAAAAGTCTGACAATATATATATATGTGTGTGCGTATGTTAAAGATAAAAGTCTGACAGTTCTCCGGTTCTTGTCTCGGCCTTATGTTTCACTTTTTTCATCGAACATTAGCAATGAAACTCAAAGGGATTGGATGCGCTATCAAAGACGGTTTCTTTGTTATTGTTTCTTTTAAATGTAAATATTTAAAAGTTAATAAAAACGTGAATTGTGCGAAAAAGGCGCTACTACATTTCTGCTCCCTTCTCTCTTATTATGGAAATTCGATTGCATTTTACTTGGCTGTATGGTTGTTCAAATATCTACAGAAAACTTGGCTGTATGGTTGTTCAAATATCCACAGAAAACCTGGCTGTATGTTTGTTCAAATGTCCACAGAAAACTTGGCTGTATGGTTGTTCAAATATCCACAGAAAACTTGACTGTATGGTTGTTCAAATATCCACAGAAAATTTGGCTGTATGGTTGTTCAAATATCCACAGAAAACTTGGCTGTATGGCTGTTCAAATATCCACAGAAAAACTTGCTCTTTCTAAATAGTAATTTGTATTTTGCAGTAGCTCTATGGGAACACGTTTAATTCATAACCATATAGATTTAACAAAATTCAGTCCGACCAAGGTGGGAAATTTTATATTGAAATATTGTCATCCGATGTCGAAGCAGATTAGCCCTACTAGCCGTTCACTCTTATGATCCGATGTTGAAGTAGATTAGCCCTACACCGTTTAGTCTTATGATCCGATGTCAAAGCAGATTAGCCCTACTAGCCGTTCACTCTTATGATCCGATGTCGAAGTAGATTAACCCTACTAGTTGCTCACTCTTATGATCCGATGTCGAAGTAGATTAGCCCTACTAGCCGTTCACTCTTATGATCCGATGTCGAAGTAGATTAGCCCTACTAGCCGTTCACTCTTATGATCCGATGTCGAAGTAGATTAGTCCTACTAGCCGTTCACTCTTATGATTCGATTTCGAAGTAGATTAGTTCAACTAGCCGCTCACTATACTTTTCAGCCACCATGTGGATTTATTGTGGCTCTCAGAATTCTGCTCGCGCAACGGATGCACACGATAACCTCCAGCTGCTTTATGTAACCAATAGGAGTTCGCGCGTTTGTCACCCAGGCAACTGTCAAGTTTAAGCATTGTTTATAGTGCGGATGTTTTTGTATGAAGAAAGTCCCGGCCAATAGCGAAAGCTATATTTTCTTATTTAGAACGACTTTTATGGTGCACCTCCTCTCTACTACTGTAAATGAGTCTTTTTCCTCTAAATGTGGTTCGTTTGAAATGAACTTCAGTCATAAAATCTAATAAAAGAAATCCTAGAAAAATACAAGGGTTTTCAGAGATCGCGACATGTGGACGTGAATTGTTGAATCAGAATCTGCAACTCTAACTTGAATGTAAATATCTTCACGTTTCGATAGAATAAGAATTGCAAGCATCGCTTCGTCTCGTAATTATTGGTAACAATCGTACAGTAACGTACATAGAATAGTTTACTTGAAAAAAAAGTTAACTTTTATACATTCTTTATAATCTTGGTGAATGTATTTTTCTGCTTAACTAATATGTAATAGACTCTAGGAGGTCCTGTTTAAAAATACATTTCAAAGATTTACAAGCTCGTTAGTCTTTATCTTAAATCATCATCGTTTTGCCGATTCTATTTTAACGTTTGAATACGTATAGCTATTTTCGACTGCCTTTATATCCTTTTAGTTATTTTCGATCAAATGTTTGCATATTTGTAGGTACATTTACTGTCATTAATGACACCTAAACGTTGACAAAATATTTTTTACAACTATTTGTTTTCAGTTCTTTATTTTAATATGATTCCGTTGGTGATAATGATTGTTTATAACTTAGAGTTACAACGGCGTTCATTTTCTTTATTCCCTCTCATTGTCCTCGCCTCTTATCTATACGTCCAAGGAATTTCAATTTGACTTAAACCAGTTTGAGCTTGAATCTTGGTATGACACTCACAATAAATCTTGTCAAAACCAGTTTAGATTTATTTTCTTTATGGACCACGTAGTTTGTATGAATGAAGGGAATGAAACTAAGAAACAAAATTTATTATCTAAAACTACAGCTACAGATTGTACACGTATAGTAATATCACATGAGCTTTTTATGTTACTGTCGAAAAATGTACAGTAAATACATTTTCTTAATATAGTTTGCCTCAATTATACTATTCCTCTTTAGGGTCTCACCACGTGTGAAGGTTACATAGGGTGACTGTAGCACATGAGTATTAGTCAGTAATGTAGTTACTTAACAGCATTCATACAAATGTTTCAACAGCATGCTGGTCAAGAAAGAAGTTGATTGATGTACTACATCTTGAACACTTAGAGAGTATATTCAAATTTGCTTCCTTCTGATAGTAGTTTTTTATTGACCTAAGCATATCAGGTTGCATTATGTTGTTGATACAGAAATGTCAATTATGGGAACTAAAATTACAAGTTTAAGAGATGCGTTTACTTTATCTCTAAGTGTCTGTTTGTAATAGCAGTTTTATATATTTCTTTGCTGTTATGTTTCATTCATTCTGAACAATAACCGCATCACAGAGGACAACCAATGTTGATTGGTGGTTTTACGAATATAACTTATTGGACTTGGATACTGGTATGTGTTCCTAATTCTAAGTTAGATTCGTAGGTTTATAAATGTACTTTTATTTCACATGTGAGACTTGGAAAAAAAGATTACATTTCATAGACAGTGTATCCTCACTGCTGAGTGAAGCGAATTATGCAGATATATCCATCTCTATCTCTTACTAGAAATGAAAAAAATAATTTCCCAAAGTAGGAAAATTTTATATAATTCCTCTCTTTTTTGTTTTATGTATGTTAAATGTTATTATATAAATTTTATTGGATTCAACAGTTTGATTATTATTTAGCATTCATGAAATTCATCATATATTTCTTCACGTGTGTGTCAGGATAATATTCTTCTAAACTAATAACAATGTATACATACAGATGATTACTTGGTTGAATATTTCTTCGTTTAATATTTCATGAGAATTAACCGGTAAAGCCTGATAAGATTTCAGAAGTGTTTTAATTCCGATGATAAATTCGTCAATATTCTTCTTTTTCAGTATCATTTTATCTTTTATTTTTTGCATGTTTGGATTCTGAATAATAGCAAGATTGAACTAAGAGAGTTTCACCCGTGATAAGATTCCTTTTAATAGGTTTACTTTGGAGGCATCATAAGTCTTATTGGTAGGATTTCTTGTGTTGTTCTTTACTAAAAACTGCATACACATACAGTTTGTTTGTTTGTTTGTAATTAAGCACAAAGCTACACAATGGGCTATCTGTGCTCTGCCCACCACGGGTATCGAAACCCGGATTCTAGCGTTGTAAGTCCGCAGACATACCACTGTGCTACTGGGAGGGGGCTACACATACAGAGACTCGCACTTATCAGAGGTATTAAACGAGAAAATTGTAAGTTACTGAAAAGTGCATACATTTGTTCGAGTAACTTGGGATTTATTTAACTTTAAAACAAAAATAACTATTATAAAACAAAAATCACAGTAAGTCATTGCAGGTCGTCGAAAAAGGGGTTTGGGCATAAAATCCTCGAAATTTTTCCCTTCTCGACAAAAGAAAAGTAGAAAAGGAGAAGATAAAGAGGGAGGGAGAGAGAAAAAGCAAAGACAATTTTTAAAGTATGCTGTATACATGTGCAATTTGTATGTTGCGAAACTGTATTTATATTTCAAAAAATATTGAATTTTTGTATTGGGACTTTCACATCCAATCTGTTAAGGTGAAAAATTCATCTTTCCAGAAAGGGAAAATACCCAAAAATGTTAAATATATACCTAACTGAGTGCTGGGAGTGGCCGTCGTTTTCTTTTTTCCTTTTTTGGGGGGATAGAGTACTTTTCTAGACATCTCCCCCACTTGAACTGAAATCCTGGCAACGACCGTGAGCCATCAACTTTTGAAATTTCTATATAATGAAGTTTTAAAATATTCTCTAAAACTATAAAAAATGTATGTCTCTTACATTAAATCGTTATTTGTATTGACGAAAATTTATAGCACTCCAGGCGGTTGACGAAACTTACACAGATGAACACGTAACTATACCGTGCGTAATAAAAAACGCTTTATCGAAACATAGATTAGGATGCAATTCAATCTACAACACTGTAGCATTCCACCAGTGGTAACCTAATCCGAAGTTGAAGGCCTGATACAGGTGACCATTGTTTTTACTAACAAGTCGCTTGTAGGTCATAACTATTTCGGTTCTAGGAGATATTTTTCTGAGTATTTTTTTAATGAATAATTTTTAGCGCTTTATATAACAGCTCAATCATGATTTTAAATTATTGAAGCTAAAAGAGATTAAGTTGTTAATCTGTTAACCAGAGAAAAAAGTCCTTTAAGAATCTTTATTTAAGAATAATTTACTGTGGGATGTAACTTATCGCGAGTGTATTTACTTGTTTCATACTATAGTTTCTTCTCTGTTACTTCGTTCTTAGCCAAAATGGTCGAAGGCGAGATGTTTAATAATTATTGGGGCTAAATAGCATATAATTTTAATAGGTGCTCTACATTAGTCTTCTTTTTGTTTTCATTTAGGCCCTATCTTTTATTCTTAGTTTAATAGTTCATATATTTTAATAAAGACCTAGAGCTTAAGCCCAATGTATATCACTGAAATCGTTGCAAAGTTTCAGAAATGTGCTGTTATTTTGCACTTCAGCAATTTCTGTACCATTCCTTATGTTTCTCACATATTTTGGAAGTTTCGACTACAAGGAGTGGAGTGTTAGTAACCGTGGATTATGATTGGTTACACAGAAAGAGGCGTTTTCGAGAAAGTTCTAGAAAATGGGTATTTCTACCCACATTATAGGATTGGTTAGAAAACTGTAGAAAAAGAGTGATTGACTGAAAATTATCTAGCAGAGTTTAGGCATTATTTTCATCATATAAATTTGTAGTAGGTCCATGAATCAATTACCCGTCTGAAGTAAATTTGTTTTTCGTTGAAATCTGGTGTTGGCGGTAGACTTTACCAAAGATCAAGCAATCGCGAACAGGACCTTCATTACTATTGAGGTGGGTACCTTACCCACGTAATGTTGCATTAGATGAAACTAAGCACGTGATAGGCCTAGTTTTTTGTTTTTTGTTGTTGTAAGAAGAGTCTTATAGATTTTATTTGCTGTGCCTGTAGATATTTTAAAGATAAATAATTCAAACCAACTTTTAGAAAACACAAAAATATAGCGGCACGATAATGAATATTTTGAAAAGTTTCAGCGTATAAATCTGTTGAGGGAATTACAGAAAAGACACATAGCTGATTTTATTGACACTTGGGATTACAGTATTATGATTTTCCTGCATCCAGAATGAAAATCAAGCTGTGACATTTTCCCATCTAGATTTTTTTTAAAGAAGTTATTTATTTTAGCTCTCTACCTGCTAACTCTAGAATTTGGACAAACGTCCTTTCTAAGGACAGCATGAATTCTTCAACTCTCCGTTAATCTAATTTTAGTATTTTTACAATGAAAACCATATGGCAGTTTTACTTACTTATTATTATAGATCTAGGGATGAGTAAAGGTAAGAAATGTTTAATGTGTATTTAGAAATCCTACTTAAACTGTGTGAACATTAACTCATTTAAAATCTTATTTTCTAATATAATTTATTTAAACAAAAGTATCCAATTTTATTACCTATAAATAACTACCATTGGCAGATTTTGTTTCTGTTCTCTTTCATTTAAATTCAATATCACCTGATAGTATAATACACTCTTAGGTTATAACGGCGGTAGGCCTAACTGAGTTGTAAAAAATAGGTGTACATCAATTAGCTACCAACAACTGCATTAGAAATGTGATTTCTTCTGCCCTGTGAAAAATTTTCTTTCGTCTATTCATCTGACACAATTTCGTCATCACGAGAATGTGCTTTTGACAATTCCTGGATGATTCC